TTGAGATAATGTCTGTGAAAGCCCTTTTGTAAAGTGTATACGTATGTTAATTATCCTTCTGAGGACAGTTGTGTGCTGACCTATTCTTATCTTATTTGTAAGTATCTTGTTCCCTGCCGATTGTGGATTGCAAATGCTTAAGAACCAGGACCTGCCTCGCCGACTGCGGCTGTTTCCTGCCTCCTCCCTTTGTCCTCTGAGGGGGGCTCACCACCCCCAAATCTCTCACAACAGTCAGCTTGCATAGACGCTCATAAACCTTAGCACTGCCCATCTGCCTGCCAAGACTCATAACTAAAAAGACTTCTTTAGTTTCGTTTACACCATAGGTCTGCCCTCTCGGCTCTCCCCACGCTGGGTCCCTAACCTTGCAGCTGGTCTACACTCAGAAAATACACAGAGATGTTAGGGTAAAAAAGAAAAACAAAACAAAGCCAAAACTTTGTGTTTAAAAGGGGAAATAATTTTTTTTAAAGTAACTGTTTTTAAGGGGGAAAAAAGGTGGGGGAAGTTTAATCCTCCAAGGTCGGGAATCAGGTTTCCTTGCTGGGATTGGGAATGGCAAGATAATTGCATCAGGGGCTCCCCAGGTGCCCTGAGGCTCAGGAGTGTGGGAGAGGGTCTAGTATTTCCTTTTGGTGACTGGTGTTTAAGGCTTTTCAGATGACTCGTCCATGTTCCCCAGTCACTTAGGGGCTGAATCTCAGCTGGCTGAGACTGGGCGATTGCTCTCAACAGCCTCATATTTGGGATTTTTCAGAGCACTCTCATATGTCTGCTGTTCCTCTTACATCTCTATATGTTACTTCAACAGCATTTATGCCGAGAAATGTAACAGAGGTGAAGAAAGTATATTTAGACACTTAAAATTCCTTCCTTTATTCTCCCCCCACAAACACCAAGAACTGTCTGAACCCTACAATAAGTGCCTGATAGTCAATGAAATTAACGTGAGCCAGTAAATTTATCATTGAAGTCTTTGAAACTTTTGATTTTGCATCATTTCTGTCTGCCCTTTATTTTGCACGTACACTGAGTCAGTTGTTAGGTAACTGACTTGTTCTAACCAAAAGAACCCAGGAGGTGTTTAATAAACACTTGTTGACTGATTGATGGAATATACTGACCTCACATCTCCTAGACAATGCGTTCTTTGTCAGAGCTCTAAGGTAGGTCGGTGGGTCCACTTTTATTACCAAGCCTTTCTGCCACACCAAGAGGAGGAGGCCCGCTGAAACTCTGTGCACCGGCCTATGGTGCAGGTTCACAGAAGAAAGCCTAGGGCTCTCCCTTTCACACCTGTTTTCACTCTCAGCAGCAGAGGCAGGACTCGCCCCAGCCAAACAATGCTGAGCTGTGGGAGGCACAGGCCTGATGCGGACCGGCCATGATGCCACCTCGCACTCCTTACTGGGAGTATTACCACGGCTGCAACTCACAGTTTGTATACATTAAAAAATAAAACATATGACACAACTGAGCTGAGTAAAATAAAAAAGAGAGAGAGAGAGAAACACAGTATTGTTAACTAATTTACAAAGCCCAGATAAGTCTTTCTGCCTCATTCTTCCAAGAGAAACCGAAGCGTGAAATATCTAGTTCCTGGCTCCCCATGGCCAGGCGCATCTCTGCCCATCCGATTCAGCTGACCATTCCAGAAAAGATGCCTGCAGGCACGACCCCTTCATTTCTCTTCACAGCCCCTTCCTCTCTTTCCTTGCTAGGCCTAGGTAAGTGCCCTTTACCCTGTTCTGCTCGGCCCCTGGGGTTCCGGGCTCACCTGGCCCGACTCTGGACGCATGGCTTCCCCTTGACTTTGTTCCTGGCTGGCGTTGATGGTTTACACTCCCCGCCCTTCTGCCATGCCCCTCGCCTCCACTGCCCACCTGCTCCCTAGAGCTGCCAGATTTCTCTGCCTGACACGGCAGCAGGAAGTAACTGCTTCTGACCCTGTCAGCTCTCAGGTGCAGCTGTACCTGAAGATATTAAAGGCACCCAAACTACGTACCCTGTGCCCCACATGCCCCCATTCATTAATCAGAACCCCCTTGCAATGTTAGCAACCTACTTCTCCGCTGATGATATGTTTTGTCATTTCGGAAAATGTAAACAAATCACTGTGCCCTCCTTTCCATCTCTTGTTATCGGAAAGAAAGTGCAGGAAGGAAGGGAGAGAAAATGCATACAAGACTGAGCCTGGTCCATCTACCATCAGGAATTCTCAACTCAAATCTAAATGCTCTTCTCCTAATTCTTGCTCGGAATCTCGAGTACCTGATCTTGAATTTCGATGGCGCTCCCTGAGCGCGGGACTGGCTGGTAGCCATGTGGTATTGATTTGTTTTCACCATAGCAACAGCAAATTAAAACAACTAGCAGAGAGGAGGCAGGCTGTTAACCAGTAAAGCTACATAACCGGTATGTTTTGCAAGCATATTTTCCTCATTTCCTCTTATTTTCCGTCTTATTCATTCCACTTTCACAAATTTAATGCAAAGTCAAGGCAAAAATAGCACGAAATGCTTTGGGCACTACAAGGCCTATGTCTGAAATAGTCTGATTGGCACAGCTTCTAGTATATTAGACCAGATCGATGGAGAAAATGCAAACACTGGCGCTCTAATCCCCTTGGAAATTTTGTTTGTTGGTCTAAGGAAAAATAACCCTAGAAAATGGACATGAGCATGAAGTAGAGTGAAGGGTTCTGGAAATATGACTATCTTAATACCCTAAGGCATTTGCCAACAGTTCGTTAATACAAAGGTTTTATCCCTTTGTACTTTAAATAGCTCTTTGTAGCAAGAGACAAACGACTTTTTTTTTTTTTTTTTTTTTGGTACAAGATCAAGGCCTCTCAACATGCTAGAATTATGAGAGAAAGCGTAGCAAGTATTACTCAGTTCTATTAAGAGAAAGAGAAACTGAGGTGGGTGCTTACTTATTAAGGCTACACAAGTAGCACGAAAGGGAACGTCAACTAGAACCAGGAACTCCCGAAAACTCCCATCTGTTCTGATGTAAATTCTCTCTTAAAAGGCTCTGTGGTAAAAATGAAACAAAACAAAACAAAACAAAACAAAAACTAACCTTCTTCTGATCTCTTTGACCAAGGTTACCACCTGTGACAGGGATTAACAGCCCGCAGGACTGGCCTTCCCCTCCGCCATCTGCCCTAGGACATGGTGCCCTTTGTATAAAAGCAGCTGTTCCCACCATCACAACCAGCCACAGAGTTGGTGGCATAACCTCGGTCCTTAATAGTGGCTCTAGGGGAACTGGGAATGAGGACACAGGCACTGTCTACCCAGGTGGCAGTACTGGGCTGTGCCAAGGGGAAGTTGGGCCAGAAGCAAAGCCGTGCTCTGCTCCCCGCAGCTTTCTGCCAGCGAAGCCAGAACCCTGCATAGAACCTGCCCGGACCCGCCCGACCTGAGGCAGGTAGGAGAAGATGCCCTAGTTATGTTGGAGACTGGGTGGGGGGTTCGAAAGGCCGGGGTAAGCTATGAAGACATAACTCAAGACCTGCTAAGTGAGAGTCAGAATGTTCCTAGCCAGGACATAAAGCAATATTCCTCTCCACGAGCCCGAATAAAAGAACACACAGCAGAAATAGTTGGGGGATGACGTCAGAAGTTCTGGGCTAGTGTCCTGCACTTCTCCTTGAAAGTGAAAACAGTGGGTCTAGAAGAATCTACGTGGCATTGCCCTTCTTTAAATGAATATTTGAATTGCCCCTCACAAGACAGGAGGGTAGCTGGAGAAACTTAATCTTATTGAAAGATGAGAAGCATGCCCTCCTCTCTCTCTCTCTCTCTTTTTTACTTTATTAGCCCCCAATTTCACGTATTAACAAATTAACAAATATCTTTGAACTTAACCTTTGTCTTTTAAAAGCGATGTTTCTTGAAGAACATTCACCGTGGTAGTGGTTGGGCAAGTCAGATTTTTTTCTTTGCTTCAGTGCTTGCTAACTATTCTAAAAATGTTACACATTTATTGTAAACACATGCTTCCGAGGCCTAACAAAAAAGCACAGTTTCCTCATGCCTGGCAGAAATTTAAAACGGAAAAGGGCAGAAAGAATTCTTTAACAAATATATCATTTCCTTCTCTTGGGCCAAGTGTGTTAAAAATAAATCTCCATCATTTCTCCCTGCTGCTTCTCGGCAAGAAAGTTGATATGGTTCAGCATAGTGAGACACAGCTTTAAAAGCTAGCCTGCCCTCATTAAATTATTCTGCGGGCTGTGTGTTCTCATTAAAAATGCATAAAGATCAGATAATTGCAGTAAGCATTATTAACCCAGCTTTACTTTTGAATATAATGGTTCCACTTTTAAGCTGAAAACAAAGGCTCAGACATGCCAGAAAAAGAAATGTAAACATTGAACTACAGTATCGAAAACTTGTCAGAAAGCTACCTCTTGCTAGCTCGTTCAAAATGTGCTTTTGAAACTCAACGCCGTGGCATTACAGAGCGAAGCAGGTCCCTCATTTCTAATAAACAGACCCCCCTTTTTTTTTCTTAGCTAAACCTTCCACGCATGATGATTTACCGCGAAGTTTTCTTTTTCCCTTCTGAATTACAAGCCCGTTTTTAAATAATGGGAGCCACGTAAACTTTATTTATTCGGGAGTTAACGACGGCAGGGTGTAAACGCTCTCTCCCAAAGCAAAGCAAGATCGCTCCCAAGAATTCAAATGGTTTCTGTTGAAGGAATAAATAGATCTGCTCTTGGAATAAAAACTCGTTTTATGCCTCACCCCAGACAGGCGGCATCGACTCAAGCTTTGCCATCTCTTTCCCTCCCATCAGAATGTTACGTAAAACTCCAGGGTCCCCTGCAAGTATCACATTTGAATTAGTGGAATCCGGTTTCCCTGGCTTCCCGGAGCCACACACATGGAATGCAGCATACTGCAGCAAACTCTTTAAACATTCAAAAAAAAAAAAAAAAAAAAAGGGAGGGGGGGGGGGGGGGGGGGGGATGATTCTCTTACCTTGTTTAGCTCTGCCTCTTCTTTCCGTTTACAGTAACCCCGGGAACATCTGGCAGAATCAGGCGGCCGAGGCTTCTCCGCGGCATCATGAGGCAGAAATTTCCATGTAAATAGTCCTCATTCCCTGGGTATTGTACTCTGCGAGCCGTCTGCCGTAGCTGGAAAATTTTGCCTTCAGATGATGAAGCAAAGACAGTCTAAACTCTGTTGCTGTAAGCGGCGGCCCTTCCTCCCGGCAGGCCCCGCCCCCCCCCGCGGGCGGCCAATCGGCGGCCGGCTCGTCAGCCCTCCTCGCCGCCGGCCGGCCCCCATAGGGTGACTGACACAGCAACACCGCGCCGGCCGTGTGTGGAAACAGTGCATCCATACTGATGAAAGAGGAATTTCCCTCTCGGAGGAAAGCGATCGCAGCCCCGACACAAAGTGGCACGTAATGGGCAGAGCCGACGGGGGAGGAGGGGTGGTAGCTGGAGAAAACACCCTTGAAGGCGGCCGGCCCCGAGCTTGCGGCGGCCCTGCAAATACTTTCGAAATATACCAACTCGGCAGATTCCGGAGGGATCCAGGTTTGTACCGGAAACTGAAGTCATGCTCCCCCAGTTGACAAAGCATGGATTTGTTTTTCGGGGAGAAACCGCTGCACGTCGACCCCGGGCGGGGGAATACCTTGCAGGGCGTTTTACAGCTGATTTGCATTAGCGGGGGAGGCTGCGTGAGCCCGGGTGCGTATTCGAAATCAAAACATGCTTAACCTCCTCGCACGCAGCTTCCCTGAAGAACAGCTGGTAACTGCAGTGCCTAATTAGCTGGAGCTCGCAGAGCTTTCATCCAAGTTTTTCCAACCACTGGGGTCTTCAATTAGGGGATTCTGAACAATACAACTGATAGCTACACATTACCCTTTTGTCCTGTTGGCTGGCACCCCTGAGAGGATTAGGTGTGCTTTCCCCTAATCCTAAACGACCTCAGGTACCATTTGATAAATACTGCGCGTTGGCCCATATTGTCATTAATGAAGCAGTGATTACAGGAAGATAGTCACAGCAGAACGCACACGGCACACGATCCAAGATCCAAGGGGCACCATCGGGTGCCAGTCGCCAAAGGTTGTCTAGAGGTGCTGAAGTTCCCCAAGATAAAGCAGGAAAACAGAAACGGAAAGGTTGGCATGGGTCATTTACTTTCCCCCCAGTCAACAGTACTTCTGCATGCTCTAAACAAACAAACAAACAAACAAAAACCATACGGCATTTAGAAAACACAAAAAGCATACATTTTCCTTCCACTGAAACACAACATTTTGAATTTTAAAAATGAAGTGTCATGACTCCATGACTAGACCAAAGCAGGAACAAAGCCCCATTCATCTGAAAGGTTGAACCAACGCACCATTGTTTATGAGCAACTGCTCAGTGTCTCTGTAATGAAGTAAGAGTTGAGGTGGAATGTAGTGGTTTCCTTTGATTTTGCTGACTGTGGTTTAGAAACACAAGGTTTCATGTGATGTGTAGGCTATGTCTTCGATAAGGGGTATCATGAGCTATTCCCTCTTGAATTTTATACTTCTAATGAAGATTACGACAGTTTTCATCCCGATGTAAATCCATCATATATAACTTTAAGGCTTTTGCCTACTATAATTTTTACTGAAATTTTAAATAATCTCTGTGATCAACCAGATTATTTACAGCTATCAATATACTTAATATCATACTGCCTGCAAACAGACAATCACAGGTTTATGAATCTCCTGTTCCCGATCTCTGATTCAGATGATGAGGCTACTACCATGTCCTTCATTTCATTCCTGAAATTTTAGTCATCTTTGACTCATTCTCCTACCTTCATGCAATGAAAGGAGGTCTCACTGATTTTTTTTTCCTCCAGGCTAGTTCAGAACTCTGACCTGCTACCTAAATAATACAAATACTGGTAAGTTGGCTTCTGGGACCCAAGCTCCCAAGCTTTTCCATGTGCGAGGTTCCCTGTTGCCAGACAGGTCTTCCGTCATGTAAAGTCATGTTCCTTTCATATTCAAAGTCTTCTCTTTTTAAAGTACAAATGACAGACTTCCAAGGGTTTTCATAATCCAGCCCCTTTCTTTCTACTCAACTTTTTCTATACTGTTTTCCTAAGTGAACTTTTTGATGGGGTCATGCTTATTTCTCTGAGACCTGGCTCCCGCAGTCCATCCCCAGACCTGACTCCCAGGAGCTTCACTTAACAACATCTGATCTAACCTTTAGACCGCAACTTACATCCTCTTTCCTCTGTTATGGCTTCTCTGTTCACATTTTCTTCTCTGACGTTCTTCTCCTCTGAAAGCATGCTGCTCTGTTCATTTTGCCAGATCTTAAAACTCCTAATGATGAGCTGATCTCTCCACCTGGAAGACAAGGTTTGTACAGTATAGTAAGATAATGTACTTAAAACATCTGTACAGTGGCTGGCACGTGATCAATGTGCACTATACAACGGCCACTCTTACTGCTGTTTCTACATTTCCAGAGTATCTAGCAGCATGCCATGAGTACACTTGCTGATTTTATGATTCCTATCTCAAGAACTGGTATCCTATCCATCCAATTTGCATGAGCCAAAAACCTGTGGTCATTCTTGATCCTCTCTCCCCAAACACCATATGAAATCCACCACCAAAGCCTGTCAGGTTTGGCACCTAGATATTTAGAAATGTTTCACTTCACTCATTTCCACCGATGCGGTTCCATCCAAGCTATTGCTGTCTTTCACTGTGACTATGAAAACAGACTTTTAGCTGGCCTCCTGTATGTTTTCTTGACCCCTTCAGACTACGTAGCAGTAAACATAAGAATCCAGAAGTAGAATTCTGATTATTCTACAGTCCTCTGCTCAAAATCTTTGCTATGAACTGAGCTGTGCCTCCTCCAAATTCCTATCTTGAAACCCTGAGCCTGAGTGGGGCAGAATTTGGAGATGAGGTCTTTGGGGGATAATCAGGTCATCAGGGTGGAGCCTTCATGTTGGAATTAGTGCCCTTCTAAGAAAAGATATCAGGAAGAGAGATCTTTTCTCTCTCTTACCCAAGCGAGGACACAGCACGAAGGCAGTCATCTCCAAGCCTGGAAGCAGGCCATTACCAAAATCTGACCATACTGCACCCGATTTCAGATTTCCAGCCTCCAGAATCCTGAGAAAGTACATTTCTGTTGTTTAAGCCACTCAGTCCACACACCATTTTGTTATGGCAGCGTGGACTGGGGAACAAGATGAAAGTTCTCAGCATGGTCTACCAGGTCCCATGTTATCATCCAGCCCTGGCCTACCTCTCTAGCCTAATCAGAGGCCTTTTCTTCAGGGAACACTTCCCTGACCCCCATGATGAGTTTAGGTCTCACCTGTTGTTTTCTCTCCCAGCCTGTGCACTCCAGAGCAGGGCTTCTCAAATTTAATGTGCATGCAAATCCCCCGGGGATCTTGTTAAAATTCTATCTCAGTGGTTCTTGAGTGGATACAGAGATTCTGCGTTGCTAACAAGCTCCCAGGTGATGCTGCTGCTTCTGGTCCATGAACTACTCTTTGAGTAGCGAGATTTTATAGACGTTGTTTACTTTAGAGCACTTTTTATAGGGCATGGGGAGACTCTTATTTGGTTAATTACTTAAGATCCATCTTCTCAACCAGGTAGCCAGCATCAGAAGTTACTACTGTTTCTCCAGCATCTAACCTAGTATGTGCCTGGCACATTACAGGAGATGCTCAATAATAAATATGTGTTTTGAATTAATGAGTTGATCAATACAGCATACTGCATATCCAAACTGGGCTTTTCTTTTTCTTATCTGCTTCCCTTCCTCCCCGTCTCCCCTGACCCTTCTTCCTCTTCTCTTCCTCCTTCTGTCTATAACTCAATGGTGGAAGCCTTGAAACTTTGGAAAGAAAATTAATGTTTATTTAAGTTATGATATACTAAATAGGAAGGAGACTGGTGAGAAACCAAAGAGAACAAGTGTCAAGAAGGTGATGAACTGTGTCAAAGTAAAGAAGGTGGCCAGAGGAATCAAACCCAGAGACATTTATCCAACAGAAGTTGTCAATTATCTCCTCCAGCTTGATGAGTTCAAGATCTATAATTCTGTCCCTTTCTCTGGACCTCTATGTCCAATTCATCACTTGAATGGACCAGAGAAAACTCATTTTCACCTTGTCCCTAACTAAAATTATTTTTTATTCTATTGAAACATATTGCTCTTATATTTCCCAAGTTAGTGAATTGAGCCGCCATCTTTTGACACCGGCCTCTGTCTCACTACCAAAATGCAAATACTCCCATGTCCTATAGATTCCTATCTTTTGAATTCATTGATGTTTCCCTGTCGTCACTGCTGTGTCCCAATTTCATGTCCTCATGCTCTTCTGTCTTGTCTTCATCTCTCTGCTTCTAGTCTTGGCCCTACTTTTCCCACCACAGCCATACCACAGCCAAACTGAAACACAAATCTTATCATGCCATTATCTATAAAAGTCATTCAGTGACTCCTGTTATCTTCAGGACGAACCCCTTGCCTAATTCTTGAGTATATTCTCTCACCAATCCTCTTAAACTTACTTCCCTCCTACTTAAGACCCAGTATTTCTAAACTAGATTTAATCCCTAGAATGTATGATGCCGTTGCTAATTTATAGCCTGGATTCCTTTTGTATGAAAGAGCTCTGATTCCTTTTATACCCATATGACATCTTCCCATCCAGCAATGCTCACTTACATATCACCTCTTCCAGGAAGCCTTCCCTGACCACCATGACATCCTTGGCCTCTTGACATTTATTCATCATAGCAATGACCACAGTATATCATAAATATAGTTTGCTTTCTTATGTACTCACTAGTGTCTGTGAGAGAAGTGACCATGTCTTTATCATTCAGCAGGATATCCCCAGTACCTAGAACATGCAGTGAAATACTAGCAGATACAAAACTGTTGTTGAATGATTAAGTGGGTAAACTTAAAAAGAACACGAGTACACCATGGCAAAGAGAAATGCAGAGTTCAAGCAAAAAATTGATAGTGAAGGGGCAGGCATCTGGGTGGCTCAGTCAGTTAAGTGTCTGACTCTTGATTTCAGCTCAGGTCATGATCTCAGGGTATTGAGATCGAGCCCTGTGTCTGGCTGGGCGTGGAGTCTGCTTGGGATTTTTTCTTTCCCTTTGCCCCTCCCCAACCCACTTGTGTGTTCTCTCTTTCTT